TATGAGAGACGTTGGTCGGAGGAGTTGTGTATAAATGCAGAACATTCGGACACAAGGCCTGTGAAACAGCGTGGCAGACAGCAGATAGAGCTTGCAATGGGTAACACTGCACAGTGCCAAGTTCTTCAGAGGGGCAGTGTTTGATGGGGATCGAATGGACAGAGAAGGAGCAAGCCAGATAGCACTGTGAAGGAGAACCACACGCAATTAACCCGCTTCTTTTCCTCTCCCCCCAATTTCCCAGAATGCTCTTTAATAATTTTTTTTAAACAAGATGTCTGCAAAAACAGAAGTATTTATACAGAGGAATACCAATATCTCCAGGGCTTTTTTCTGGGGGAACGCACCAGAATGGAGTTCTGGAACCTCTTTGACAGATTTTTTTAAAAAAATGTTTAAAACTTCTTGAGTTTCCAGGATACAGACTGAAAACTTCATTTCCCTCTTGAGAGTTCCAGAACCTCTTTTTCCAGAAAAAAAGCTTTGAATCTCTCTCTTTACAAAGAGGGGGGTACAGTGCTCATGAAAACTGTATATCTGTTTTCTCAGATCAGTGCCCTGAAAATCAAAACTACTGTATATCTTTATTTATTTAGAGACTTTTTAAGATGCCTTTCTGGGGGACCCTGCCTGAGGCAGCTTACCAAATGAAAGCTTAGGAAAAAAATAAAGCATTTGAAGTTGGTAAATAATACCCAGTATTAAAAACCAAGTATTTACATAATGCACAAATCATTAGGCATCTTAAAAGGAATAACAGTTTTCAGGCTAAAAGCATGCTATACAATATGGTGCTAAAATCGACTTTGTGCAGACATGCCAAAAATCCATGACAATAAGGAGTGTGTGTGTGTGTTGGGTATGTGTGTTTGCATATAACTGATGACAACTCCCTGTTTTCCCAGCAAGATCTCCTGTCCACATTCACCCCAACACTTCATCCCTCCCTCCTTGCATCCTCTGTTGTAAATCTTGCATGGACACTTCGTGAATTTTTTAAAGACGGACCTTCCTCCAAAATGGCACTCATGATCCTCCCCACCTCTCTCTTATCCTCACAACAGCCTTGTGAGGTAGACTAGGCTGAAATAGCAGGACTGACCCAAGGTCATCTACAGTGCTAGCCTAAGCAGGGTTATATCCTTCTAAGTCTTTTTAAGTCATTGGGCTTAGAAGGGTATCATTCTGCTATAGGAGGGCACTACCAATGATTTTAATGAGGACTTGAATCCAGAACTCCAGATTCTGACTTGCTAACCATGACAACATACCAGCTCCTCTCCCGTAGCCTTCTGCACTCTGCTCACCTTCCCTCCCTCCTGATTTTTTTCTTTATGCTGTACAATCAGCAGTTGTGGTGTTTTTATAGATTAACATCAGCCAAAACCGGAACTCTGTCCCCAAGGAGGTTACAAATGGAATCTTGATGGGGTTGGAGCTGGTGTGTTGAGAAAAAGGAAGGAAAAGAAGCTATGTCCATAAGGAATGGGTAGAACTTTAGGCAGGTGGACTCGAGAAAATAAATTTGCCACAGAATGTTCCTTGGTGAATTTTGTGTTAAATATTCTCTGCCCATTCTCTGGGTGTGCCAGTTATTTTCGAATTTTCCTCAAATGTTTTATTCCTTTGTCTGACACGGAGTGATATCTGATAGTGGTATTTGATAACTAATATCTGACAACAGTTGATGTGCCTGGTGTTTATTGGTGGGTGATGCATGATGGGATATCGTGGTAGTTTTCAAACTTTTTACCTTCAGGGAATTCCAAATTGAATCCGAGGACTCCCTTGTACTAAGCACTGTGACAAGAAGTCTTTCTCACTGGGAGTCTTTGTCTTTTAAAAGAAGTCTTAGAGAATGGAAGTCAATGGATCCAACTTGGCAGAGGACCCTTGGGTCCAGGTATTTTCTGTCAGTCAAAGAATCCTTGTGAGCTTTAGACAATTATGGGGCATTTTATACAATGCATACTCATTTCCTGAGGGGCATTTCCTGTAGGGCATTGTCCACAGAATGTGCTCAGCTTTCCCCTGTGGTTGTGTATCATAGAAGAACTTCTGTAATGAAACTTATCAAGAGAAGCTCCTCAGCTGTTGTTTGTGTCCACACGGTGATGACTTCTCAGTTGGTGTTCATCAGCCCTGTGAGGCATTCACACTGACAAGAACAAAAAAGGTCTGAGAAAGAGCCTGCTGAGAACAGAGAAAACCTGGAAAGGGACAATTAGAGGACAACATTATGTGGATACTCCCAACCACCCAACCACCATGCTACTGTTTGGAAGCAAAGGAGGGGAAAATGTCTGTATGGAAACAACCACAACTGATCTTCTGATGGAGAAATAGGGTTATCAAATTCTATGTGGCACATGGAGATCTCCCACTATTACAATTGATCTCCAGACAACCCAGATCAGTTCCCCTGGAGAAAATGGGTGCATTGGAGGATGGACTCTATGGCAATGTGCCCTGTTGAAGTCCCTCCCCTCCCCTCCCCAAACCCCGCCCTCACCAGGCTCCACCCCCAGAATCTCCAGGTATTTCCCAAGTGGCAACCCTATGGAGAAATCCTTGGCAAGGGTCAGAAGAAGAAGAAGAAGAAGAGAAGAGATTGGATTTATACCCCGCCCTTCACTACCCAAAGGTGTCTCAGAGCGGCTTACATTCTCCTTTCCCTTCCTCTCCCCATAACAGACACGCTGTGAGGTAGGTGGGGCTGAGAGAGCTCTTGACAGAAACTGCTCTTTTTCAAAAACAGCTCTTATCAGAGCTACGGCTTGCCCAAGGTCATCCAGCTAGGTGCATGTGGAGGAGTGGGGAATCAAACCCGGTTCTCCCAGATTAGAGTCCACGCACTTAACCACTACACCAAACTGGCTCTGAGGGGTCTCCAGAAGATTGTTTGAGAAGCATTTTCTGTCACTGTTGACATACAACTATAGTTAATATATGATAGGCATCAAGCAGTGATACGTAGCATTTGATAAATATCCCACAATTAGTATTTGAGAATATTTGAGAGTTGATGGCTCACCGGATTTTCATATTTGAAGCTTACCGAGATAGATGCAAAGAAACCAGCATTGCGAGTGTTCAAAAATGCAAATTTATATATATATATATTATTCATTCATTCATTCATTCATAGACCTTTATTGGCATATCATTAGCCATGAGGTATATAAAACATTGTATCGTAAAATTAAAATCTAAGATTCCAGACAAATTTAGTACAATCAAAATAGTACTATCTAAGATTTTGTACCTTAAGAACTTCGGTAAGAAACTTGGCAGGGATCTCAGGGATCGAATCATTCAAGAGAAGTTGACATTTTAACTTGTTACTCAAATAACTTTTAGGGTGACGCCAAGTTAGAAGGAATTTTCTGCGAGGTAGTTTATACAGGGGGCATTCAACAATTATATGGTCAATCGTGTCCAGGGAGTTAAGATCACAGGGGCAAAGCCATTCTTCTCTTGGGATTTGATGATATCTGCCATAGAGTATTCTAGAGGGAAATGTGTTGACCCTGGCCAGAAGAAAAGCTCTGTAGATGAAGAGGGATGTCGAGATTGTAAAAATATTGGGGCATCTTGCCTAAATGGTTAGAGAGGCCGAGCATGGCAGGTTAACAGATATGAGATTGAGTAGGGTGTAATTTTTGCAGATCAATATCTAAGAGTCGTTGTTTGATTAGTTTAAAAATATGAGGCTCATTGGTTAGGGTTAGGTCTTCAAGAGGAACACCAAGTTGACTTAATTTAGATATAATTATGGAATCCCAGGAGGAATTATGCAGTTCTTTTTGAACTTTTATTTGAAATGTCTCCTTCAAAATTTGAATAACAACATTGGAGAGGTTATTGAATTGAAAAGAATTGTGTCTATTTAATTCTAGCGCTTTTTATTTATTTTTATTTGGGGGGGGTTACCCCGCTCTACCCCACATGCGGGCTCAGGGCAGCTCACCTCAACTCATAGAACAGTGAATTAATTAATAAAAACACTACAACAATAAAATAACTTTAACCAGATTAAAATGTAAATTAACCATTTAAATATCTATTAGCAGCTTGGTAATTAGTTTCCATTCCCGTATATTATGTTTATGCCAGGAGGGGCAGTGTATCATTTGGAGGAATCAGTCAGCTGTTCCTAGTGCCGATTATCTAAATTGCACTATGGAGTACATGAAGCACTTGAGGCTTGAGGCGGGGGATATTATTTGACGTCTGCTGCCTCAACCAACATACAATACAAGTTTTCTGCTTTTGTTCATAATTCATTCATGGAGTGTATTCATATTTATACAATCTCCTCTCGTGAGCTCTCATTTTTGATATATAATCAACCAAAGTCCTGGCAGAACAGGCCCGTTTTACACGCCCTGTGGAATTACAATATATCCCACTGAGCCCTGATCTCACTTGGGTGAATGTTCCACCAGGCCTGGGCCAGGGATGAGAAGACCCCAGCCCTGGTCGCAGCAAGGTGGATGTCTTTCAGGCCGGGGACTACCAAATGGTGCCGGTGTAGAGAATGGAAGGCTCTTTGGGGCAGATACGGGAAGATGCAGTCCTGCAGGTCTGTGTATCTAGAAATCATTTCAATGTTGTAATTATTTGTTGAGTATATCTTTATCCCGCCTTTCCTTCAAGACGGTCGGGGTGGCATACATCGGTCTCCTGTCTTCTGTTTTACTTTCACAACAACCTGGTGAGGTAGGTTAGGTTGAGAGGGTACGACTGGCCCAAGGTCATCCAGCAAGCTTCCCTGCCAGAGTGGGGATTGGAACTTGTTTGACATCAACTAGCAAACTCTAGTTTGTTGAACCTGTGCGCATTCACGTATCGCAACGAACTAGGGTTTGATCAAATGACAATACCTTGTGATACCTGAACACAGGTTTTTCCTTGTTGGGAACCGGGATCTTTGGGGAACTTTTGATTCTGGTTATAGCTGAAGCATTACTGAGGTGGCACTTGTGTTTTCTTGGCAGAAATCCATCCACGGTTTTCAGCAACAACCACATTCCCAATGGAGTCCAACACTGACGATACAGAACCAGATATTGACGAAGGTACCTTTTTGTTTTTCCCAGCGATGCAAAAACCATGTCATAGAACCCTAGAATCACAGAGTTGGAAAGGGCCACAGAGGCCATCTAGTCCGACTCCCTGCTCAATGCAGGATCAGCCTAGAGCATCCCTGACAAGTGCTTGTCCAGCCACTGCTTAGAGCCTGCCAGTAAATTAGGGAAATGGAAAGGGTACAATGATGTGATGCTCTGATCAGAATTAGTGTCCCCAACTGGCTGCTCTGCTGTACTGAACACTGTGAGGTCCCCTAATGTACTTCCTTTGAGTGTGTACAGTTTTCCTTCACACAAACTGACTTGTGGAACTCATTGCCACTAGGGACCTCTAATTTATCAGATGCCAGGGAGCAGCCAGCACATAAGGTAGGTCCTACCTGTGGACTTTCCTTTGGCATCTGACAGGCCAATGTTGGAAAGAGGATGCCAGACTAGATGGAACATTGGGCCAATCCAGCATGGCTGTTCTTCTGTGTCACTCGGCCCCAAAATGCATCCCCTCTAGCGATCTGATCTGCAGTCGCGATTTCCCCCGGACTTGTTCCTCCCTTGTCATTCCGTTTCCTTGTCTTTCTCTGGCAGACTACAATCTAGAGAGTTCTGAGAGCCCACTTCCTTTCACCAACGATCCCAATGAACTGGATGGTTTCGGCAGCACCGTAGCCGGCACAGCGACCACGGTGATGGGAAGCTCTCAGTCCGTTGTCCGAAGTGGCACACCGGACAACCTCATCCCTGTCTACTGCTCCATCTTGGCGGCCGTGATCGTGGGGCTGGTGGCATACATCGCTTTCAAGAGGTAAGTGTGGTTCGATCCTGCGGAGATCCAGGCATGAGAGGGCTGAGCAAAGCAGGAAGGCGCCCAAGCAAAACAGTCTTTCCTTCACCTCCTACTTCATGGAGGGGGTATCTTCGGCTCTGAACGGGGGTCAGCTTTGCAAGCCCAAAACGGCAAGGACTCTGGTGGTGCCATGAAGTTGAACAAATTCATTACAGCATAACCTTGCGTGGGCCAGAGCTCACTCAGGCTGATGCTTGATGGGGGGCAAGAAAATACACCCCCGCACAACAGCTCCAGCAAGCAGCATGGGAAGATGTGGGGACACTGCCTGCCACCGCTGTAGTTTCTGTGCCTTTTTCTGCTGCCACCACCCTTTGGCCTCTGCTCCTCCCCCCTTGTCCCCTGTCGTGCCCGTGCAAAAGCACAGGCACAACAACAATTACATGGCCCTAGGGTTACCTAGTAGGGCTGCGGTAGCTCAAGTGCTTAAGACACTGAACTGCAGACCAGAAGGTCAGGAGTTCAGCAGTTCGAGACCCGAGTGACACATGATGGAGTCAGTTCCCGTCTCTGGCCCCAGCTCCTGCCAACCTAGAAGTTCGAAAGCAAGAAATTGCAAGTAGATAAATAGGTACCACTTCGGTGGGAAGGTAATAGCGTTCCGTGCGCCTCAGCGTTTAGTCATGTCGGCCACATGACCACGGAAATGTCTTTGGACAGCGCTGGTTCTTCGACTTGGAAACGGAGATGAGCACCACATCCCTAGAGTCGGATTCGACTGGCTTTCGAGCAAGGGAAACCTTTACCTTTACCTTAGGGTTACCTGCTCCCAGTTGGGAATGGAAAACTCCTGGAATTTGGGGGGGGGGGTTGGAGAGTGAGGAGGGCGGGGTTTGGGGAAGGGAGGGACTCCAATGGGGTCTAATGGCATAGAGTCCACCTTCCAAAGCGGCCATTGTTTCCAGGGAAACTGATCTCTATAGGGTTGCCATTCCCCAGTTGGGGGTGGGGGATTACCCAGTTTTGCGGGCTCCTGCTCAGTGCCGGACAACTGGCCAGTGAGAGGAAATCCCCCCCCAGCAATGTCATGCAATGTGCCTGTGTCACCTGGAAGTGATGTAGGCATGTCGGTGATGTGGGGGGGATGCTCTGGTTTTGGGGCAAAACTCTATGGTTTGAGGGTGATTTTACCATAGGGTTTTGCCCCAAAACCAGAGCATTGCCCCCGACGCACCTACATCATTTCCGTGGGATGTAGGCACAGTGTGCAACGTCACTTCCGGTGATGTTGGCACATTGGCAGCAATGTTTCTGACTCCTGGTATATCCCCCCATCCCCCCGCCAGCATCTCCAATGGACCTGGCGACCCTAGATCTCTGTCACCTGGAGATCAGTTGGAATCCCAGGAGATCTCCAGCCACCACCTTAAGGTTCAAAAACCCTACACGGCCCATGGCTGAGATTGGTCTTTTGGGTGCCCCAAGACTCTTTCCATTTCCTGCAACGACAGATGAAGCCTTGCAACTCTTCTGGGATTTGCAGTGCAAAAGAGTCACATGAGGGAAGCTCTCCGAATTGGCCAGCTTGTCTCTGTGAACAGTTTGGTGTAGTGAACCAGTTTGGTGTAGTGGTTAAGTGCGCGGACTCTGATCTGGGAGAACCGGGTTTGATTCCCCACTCCTCCACATGCACCAGGCTGGATGACCTTGGGCAAGCCGTAGCTCTGATAAGAGCTGTTCTTGAAAAAGAGCAGTTTCTGTCAAGAGCTCTCTCAGCCCCACCTACCTCACAGGGTGTCTGTTGTGGGGAGGGGAAGGGAAAGGAGTTTGTAAGCCGCTCTGAGACACCTTTGGGTAGTGAAGGGCGGAGTATGAATCCAAACTCTTCTTCTACATCATCATCCTCTGGAGACAGCTGCCTTTCTCCAGCTTGGGAGTTTCTCCTCCTCTGATTGGCGAGGTTCCCAGAAATCAGGCGGCCTTCCGAACTAAAGTCAAGGACATGTTCTCCAGCTTGGGAGTTTCTCCTCCTCCTCTGAGCAGCGAGGTTCCCAGAAATCAGGCGGCCTTCCCAACTAAGGGCCATGACATTCGTTCCCAGGATTTGTAAAAGTATCCACAGATATGGTGCAACTGAGACCCAAAGAGAACTGTAAACAAAACACTCCGCATGCATTCCCGTTCTGGCATCCTGCACATCTCACGCAAAACAAAGCTCTGTGGGGAAATCTGGACTCACAGGATCGGAATAGCAGCCCGCCGCCAGCTACTCCCCCATCCTGGCCAAGCTAGTAACTGTTCCTCCTTAGGAATGAGGCTGTGAACTGCTACCGAGCCATTCGGGCAGACCAACAACAGGACAATGGTGAGGGTGACAAGCAAGAATATCTTGAGGAAGTGTTTGACAGGCAGGATAAGTGGCACAAGAAACTATACACCTAAGTGGAGACCCAGTTTGGTGTAGTGGTTAGGAGGACGGACTCTAATCTGGGAGAACCAGGTTTGATTCCCCACTCCTCCACTTGCAGCTGCTGGTGTGGCCTTGGATCAGTTACAAGTTTTCTCAGAGCTGTTCTCTCATGAGCAGTTCTCAAGAGCTCTCTCAGCCCCACCTACCTCACAGGGTGTCCGTTGTGGGGTGGGGAAGGGAAAGGAGATTGTAAGCCGCTCAGGACTCCTTCAGGTAGTGAAGGGCGGGGTATAAATCCAATCTCCTCTTCCTCTATGTGTTTTCCAGTGCCTTTTCTCAAATTTAGCCCTTTTGTCTGCCAGTCCTTTCTTCCCACTCCTTTTTTAGCCCTCCAAGCACCTGTAAAGTGAATGCATGCTGTGTGCAATCCTCCCTATAGGAGTGGTCCCCATTTTGTGTGAATAAGTCAAAGCACATTTTCTTTTTCTTTTTTCTTTTTTTGCATTAACATTTGATACATATCTTCTCAAGACACTTCATTTCTTACATATTCTCCTCCTTCTAGGAGTCAAACTAAGAATTACAGACATATAAATACTCTCTGTCCTCTTTGTCTTATTCCTTTTCCTTACCCGTTTGCCAAACCACCGTACAACTTCCTATAATAACTATTCTGATCGTTATTACATTATTTCCAAAAGATTTTCAAAACTTCTTCTTTACTTCTTCTAGAGACTTCCCTCTTTACTCTCTTATTTTTTCCCTTAATCTATCTTCTTCCATACCTATAAAGGAGAGTTGGGCAGGGTTGCCTCCGATACTGGGAGCTGCAGAGGGGACCTCTACAGCAGGAGGATACCCTCCTCCCTCTTATCGGAGGTCTTGGGGGGGGGCACCCTTCACCTCCTAGCTATGCCGTTGGCTTTAACAATTCAGTTCCCATTATTATTTCCCCTTATTCTGTGCATGGTATGTACAACCAGAACCATAGGTTTTTCAGAGACTGTGTTTGTGCTTACGAACAGTCAACATGCATGGGGAAAATGCGCTTTGAACCGTTCCCACAAAACAGCGACTGTGCATATCAGGAGGATCACAGGTAGCAGGTGCTTTTGTTGTACACATTTGGAGCACCAAGAACTGAAATCTCTGAAAACAGCTGGCATCTCGGGGTTCATCAGAACCCAATTTGGAGGTAATAATCACCGTATGGCAGTGTGTGTAGTATAGCTAGGAGATCTCAAGATTGTCTGGCAGCTGGAAGTTCTAGCTCTTTTAGCATTATGCACCACTAGGTGGTGAGCTAGACTTGTTTTGGGGGCTGAGAGAGCTCTGAGAGAACTGTGACTGCCCCAAGGTCACCCAGCTGGCTGTCAACATGCAGTGTTGCAATTAAGTCTGGCTATAGATCTGTAGCATCTATGTGACAGGAGCTGACAGCTCTAAGTGACTGAAGAGCTGGCTCTGACCGGTTCTGGCTGGTGTATGCCAGAGCTAATTAGCATGACTCGGCATTGGACCTGATTGGCCAATGGATGTATAAGTACAGTGAGGTACTGTACAGTTTTTCTTCTTGTGAATATTGGTTCTCTGCGAAGCATTATGTCAGTCTGTGTAATTATTGGTGAAGGCTTTGTAAATAAACTGTAAATAGCTTTTACACAAGCCTTGAAGACTCCAGTCTTTATTGGATACCCTTGCACCCGTGTTCGGTCTGCAGTGGGCTAGCACCGCGCAATACCGACACTGGCTTCATGTGGGGGAGTGGGGAATGAAACCCAGCTCTCCAGATTAGTCTGCCACTCTTAGCCACTACACCAAACTGGCTCTCATGACTATCTATTTGAGGCTGAAATATCCCACCAGGCATTGGGGGTGGGCTGCTCATGAACCCAAACCCAACCTCCAAGGATAGTGCAGACTCCTGGCTCAGCATGACAACGCCAGTTGTTAGGGAAAGGCAGGCATGCTTTCCATCCCAAGGATGAGAGTAGGAAGCCAAACTGTGGCCTACACAACCTCTGCTGGTTCCTTCAGATGCCCGGCAGTGGGGTGGGAAAGCATAGTGTGGTTTAAAGCACCCTCACCTCTGGACTGCTGAAACAGTCCCTGCATCGGAGTCTGTCTATGCAAGCCCCGAGACAGGCTTTACCACACCCAAAGCTTCGAAGAACCTGCAAGCCCGCCGTCGTGCCAAATTTGGGTTGCACACCTCGAGTTGGGAAGGAGACATGGGGAGGGGGAAAAATGCTCTTGGATGCTTTCCCTTGTAGGTGGAACAGCTGCAAGCAGAACAAGCAAGGTGCCAACAACCGCCCTGTGAATCAGACGCCTTCGCCAGAAGGGGAGAAGCTCCACAGCGACAGTGGCATCTCGGTCGACAGCCAAAGCCTCCACGATCAACAGCCACAGACGCAAACGGCGTCCCTGCAAGGCAAGGGAACCCGTGCTTTCCACAGGAATGGGGAGGGGGGAAGCCAAGGCAATGGGGAGGAGACGAATTTAGGAGAAAGGGCATCAGTGGTCACAGGAAGGATGGTGAGGGGCGGGCCTTTTAGCTTGCTGGTGAATTGGGCTGTGAAATCTCGCCCACTGTATGCCAAGGCAGAGAACTGGTATGCACAAGTTGTCTGTAGAGCAACACTTTGAAACGAGATTAGCCAGGGAACCAAGAAAAACACAGCAGGGGAATGGCAACATACACACGCTGGCCCATCTTCCCACAGTCTCCAAAGCCAGTGTAAACAGGGAGTAATTGTTTCTCAACACTGTAAGTCATTGAGGAATACGGCTGTTTTGGTCCATAATACAGGTGCAAAAAACAAGATGGGAAGATAGCACAGAAAATACTGAGATGTAGTGGGCTGCCAATAACATCATCTGGATTTGCCATAAACTGTAGTCCTTTCTGGATGTTACATCTACCAGGTACTACGTGTCGATGCTCCCATGTTGTCCAGACAGGGGAGGCGCACATATTTTGCATGCACTTACACCATGAATCAGCCACTCTATTTTCCAGGGTTCTGCTCTGCACATACCAAAGCTGTACCCAAATGCAAAAATATGTGCGTTCCACTGATCAGACAACATGACAACATCAGGCAACTTCGCATACTGCCAATACCGGCAATTGCTGGGCTCCTGGTACAGAAAAGGGATACTTGGTGAATAAATTATGTACATTCCACACTGTTGCCGAAACAGACTGGATCCAGTTTGAGTGGATAGTGAGGACCACCCCGTTTGAGGGCTTTTCATCCCTTTGTTACATCTAGAGGGCAATGTCCCCTCCAAGCTCCACAGTCTTGTGAGCAGAAATTCTACCTTGTGAGTGAAAAAAAGCTATTAGCATCAAAGTTGTGAGCAAGTCTACATTTGACTATTGCATAAATTCTTTTTTTAGATTATTTCCATAACCATGTAAAAATCTCAGAATGAATTATTTTAAGCTAAAACTATATTTTAAGAATAAACATTATAAGAGAAAACAGAATCAAGTCAAATTCCATTACACAAAATGTTGTCCTCTAAAGGGGTAGACCAGGCCTCCAGAGAACAGGTCTACCTTCCCCTTTCCACTGTATTGGTAGACCTGGCCTCTGGAAAGCAGGTCTGCCCGCCCCTTTCCACTCTAATAGTAGGATGCTTTCAAACATAGTAAAGTCCTTTCCGCACTTGGATCTCGCCCCTAGTTCAACTCACGACACAATGCATTTATCCCTGGTTATAATATTATCCATTTATCCCGGGACAAATGTGGGGCGAAACCAAGGTGACCTCAATGTAAAGTGGAAACGAAAAATACCTGAGATAATTACAGGGGTGAACTCGAGTGTAGTGTAGAATGTAAGTTCGGAGACAGGGTTGAACCAGGATTTAAGGTCTAGTATGGAATCACCCTAAATAACACACTTTCAATCCACTTTGTATGCACTTTGCAACTGGATTTTACTTTGTTGAATGGCAAAATCCACTTGCAAATGGCTGCCAAAGTGGATTGGAATGACATTGTTCAGCGTGTGTGAAAGCAGATTGCCCTTTATTCATGAGCTTGAAGCAAAACCAGTGATGGAGCTCCCAGATATCTCCCTTCCATGACCTTGTTAGGTCCAGATTGGTTTGGTTTTGTGTGGTCAGGACTGCACCTGGTCCTCTCAGACCAAGATTTCATAACCCTAAGAACATGAAAAGAGCCCTGATGCATCGGACCAATGATCCATCTAGTCCAGCATCTGGTCTCACTCAGTGCCCAACCAGTTACTTTGGACAGTCAACAAAAAGGCAAAGAGGCCAAGGCCTTCCCCTGATGTTGCTTTCTGGTACTGGTATTCAAAGGTTTACTGCTTTTGACTGTGGAGGTTGTCACAACCCCAGGGGTGTGCCCCTTAAGGCCGGGTTGATCCAATCAGTTCGGTGGGGAGAAAATTCAGGTAGTGTTTCAAAAATTATTTCTGGTAGCATAATTTTGGGTTCTGGGTTAGTAACTCATTCCGATTACTCTTAAAAGCAGAATCAAATTTATTTACAAAAATATAGCACATCAGGTAAAACATACATGTAGGGGAAAGCAGGATCCCTGCCGCAGGGGACAGCGATACGCATTGCACCGCTGTCGCCAGGATGTGACGCTACGCGTCGCTCTGGCAACGGGACAGCCCCGTTGCCAGAGCGACGCGTAGCGTCACATCCTGGCGACAGCGGTGCAATGCGTATCGCTGTCCCCTGCGGCAGGGATCCTGTGAAGACGTGCAGATCCCCCGCCGCGGCTTGGCAGCCCTAAACGATAAACCAAACAAACCTAGCTCTCTAATCTAATGCACTGACCCTAAGCAGCCGTGTTCCCAGCAGCTGATGCAGAAGCAGAGGTCACAGAGGAAATAACAGCCTCTTCTTCCAGGCTCACCGGCTCATCAACCGAAGGTTCCTTTTCCATCCTCTTCTGAGCCTCTTCCCTTCTTCCGTGTGTATTGTAGTCTTTCCTGTGTGTGTGATCTGTCCCTAACTCCTGACTCTATGCTGGTTCAGCTGTCATGGGTTAATTGACAGACCAATCACAGACCTCTAGCAGTCGATCTAGATCCAGAACTCTCAAAGATCTTGAAATATCAAGTTGTTATTTTGACAGCTCACAGCTGGCCTCTGTTGGGCTAACTGGCAATTTACTGCAGGTGCTAGTTATCAAGTTACACTGTAGCTCTAAAACAATCCACGTACAATTTAGGCTGAGCAACTCTACTGAAAGATGCTAGGACTTAAGTCTTGAGGACCCAGTTTCGTGACAGAGGTTCCCTTTGGTAGCCCTTGATGGACCCTATCCTACATGAATCTCTCTAATCCCCTTTTAAAGCTATCTATACCTGTGGCCAGGAGGGAAGGGAGCATAGTATAGCCCGATCTCATTAGATATCAGAAGCTAAACGGGGCCAGTGCTTGGATGAGAGAACACCAAGGAAGTCTCTGCAGAGGAAGGCAATGGCAAACCACCTCTGCTTCTCACTTGCCTTGAAAGCCCGTTGCTAGGGTTATCATAGAATCATAGAATTACAGAATTGGAAGGGGCCATACAGGCCATCTACTCCAACCCCCTGCTCAATGCAGGATCAGCCTAGAGCATCCCTGACAAGTGTTTGTCCAGGTGCTGCTTAAAGACTGCCAGTGGGGGGGAGCTCAGCCCTGTAAGAAGTGGAGGACTTTGTGCTGTCTCCTATCTCAAACTTGAGAAGATGGCACCAAAGAGTTTAGACAGAAAGAGAGGTCAGGACACACAGAGCATCCTTTCCTTCCTGCTATCTGATCCTTTCCTTTGAAGTAGGATGCTACTCTTAGGGGCAATTTCCTCTGCTTCTGGTCTCACACAGTGGCCCATTCTGCATCTAGCATTTGCTCCACTGTTTTACCAAACCCATGCTGGAACCGAAATCCCCCTTTACACTGCATGCCACTTTCACTTTGATTGTCGGATTTTATGGCAGTGTCCAGACTGCATGCCGGCTTTCACTTAGTTTGATCTCTCGGTTTCATAGTACCCGTCTGTATAGATTTATGACCGTTCTATGGCCATTCAGGGGTGACTCTGCAGTCAGTACAGCATTGGCCAGGGGTATTTGAATGTGGTTTTGAGCTGCATCTCTTTCTGTTCCAGTGTGGGTTTGGTAAAACAGCAAACCGAATGGTAGATGCAGAATGGGCCTCTCTTCTCTCACACATGCACAGAAAGAAGGTGCTTGATCTCCATCTTGCCTCATGGAGGCTGGACATGTGTCCAGCATCCAACACCATCTAGTTAGTTAGAATAGGTAATATCTCTTACCTGCACTCTCAAGCATGTATTTCCTTTAATAAAAGTTACTTATTAGTTTTACAACTGACTGCTGACTCCGTGTAACCTTGTAAGTCTGTTGCCACACCAAGCCCCAAGCTCTGCTGCCTTGAAGCCTCTGAGCACGGCTACGATTCCAAGGTTCCCTGGCAGTACCAAGTCCAGAGAATCCAACAACCACCTCCAGTCCCTAGGCAGCTGATTCCACTGTTGCACAACTCTTACTGTAAAAAAATTTCCCTAATACCTTCCCGCCCTTAATTTAAACCCATTATTGCGAGTCCTCTCCTCTGCTGCCAGCAGGAACAGCTCCCTGCCCTCCTGTGAGTGACAGCCCTTCAAATACTTATAGAGAGCAATCACGTCCCCCCTTAACCTCCTCTTCTCCAGACTAAACATTCCCGTGTCCCTCAGCCTTTCCTCGTACGGCTTGGTCTCCAGGCTCCCAATCAGAAGTCAGCTGCAACTTGATGGCAATTTGACAGCCCTTTACACACATACTTGTGACCATAACATCATTTCCTGGCAGAGAATTCCAGATTTTAATTCCTCATTGTGATCACCTTTTGTTCTCCCCAATGCAGGCCTTAAAGGAGATGGGAACCTTTACACCAGCCTGCCGGCCAACAAACGAGAGGAGGTCGAAAAGCTGCTGAACGGATCCACAGAGGAGACGTGGCGCCACTTGGCGGGGGAGTTGGGCTACAAGGAAGACCACATAGACTCCTTCACGCAGCAGGAATACCCGGTCCGCGCCCTCCTCTCTGACTGGTCCAGCAAGGACAGCGCCACCATGGACGCCCTTTATTCTGCCTTGCGTAAAATCCAAAGAGGGGACATTGTGGAAAGCCTGTACAGCGAGTCCACTGCTAGCTCACCAGTGTGAAGCAGGGAGAAGGGGTGGCGGTGCACCGGGTGGCCCCCCCTTGGATCGCCCCACCTTCCCTCACTGGTGCCTCTTGGGAGAAAACATGTGAAGGAAAAACAGAGCTTGTTCCTCCCCCTAATTTCTGGGGTCTTGGAGCAATCCTGTGTATGCTGACTCGATTGTCGTCCCTCTTCCCCACCCTAGTATGTTCACCCAGTACCTGTTTGCTGGTAGCAGACTGCAGGATGCTAAAAAAGAGGAAGGTAACTGGAGTGGGTTTTTTCTTTCTTTACGAAATATCTCCTGGGATGGACAGCAGGGTTTTGCTGTCTCTGCCAAAACGCAGGGTGAAGAACTGTTTCCGGTCAATGCCTCTCTTTCAGGTGCCTCTCTGACATCAAAGCCCGTCCCCATGTGCTTTTTTGCTTCCATTCGATGACGTTTCTCTTTCTGCACTCTCACTCACTTACGTTGAGTCACCAGCTCTTCTCTTGAATGTTTCCTAAGCCAAGAAATAGGGGGAAGCTTGGTGGGACACGTTGCATGACTTGAAGATGGTGGAAAGTGGACGAGTTCGGCCTAGGAGAGGGAAAGAGCAAGGAGGTGCTTCAAAGGCACCATGGACCACCATGTTTTGAGAGACTCTCCTTGAAGGGGGGGAAGGGATGATTTGTGACTGTCAAAACTGACGCTCTGAAGATCAAACCTCAAAGGGTAGGGATGGAACGAAAAGGGATACATGGGTTCCCCCTCCACAAACCCATCCATGCACTCGAAACATCAAGCGTACTCTTGGTCTCTCTACCTTCTCTTTCTTGCTCTGATGCACTTCTGTAGCTGGCACTGAACTCTCTTGCCAGTTTTGTTGTTCTTTGATCAAAAGTGAGCAGAGTCCTTGAATGGACAGCACTGACATCATGAGGTCAAAAGCCATACTGGAAAGCAGAGCTGGACAAACTAACCCAGCCAATCAAAACCATACGAATGGCTCATGGGCATGTGAATTCTTGATCACTGTGATACTCTAAGCCAGGCCAAATGTCATCTCTGTTGTCATCCCAGATGTTGTCTTGGTGAAACGTTAGAAGTGATGCCCTGCGTTCTTCCTCAGACTAGTGAACCAATCACTGTGGGTTATTAAAGCCATTACCTCTGTTGCATTAAAGCATTGAGTCTTAAGGCCACCTTTGGTTGGCCCTAAGATATTGGGTGGAGGGAACAGCTCAGTTGGTTCTGTACCAACATGTCGAAGCTAGAACTGGGTTTGGTGTTGTCTCCTTCAATGCACCTCTGCTGGGGCTTGCTGGTTTTATTCCCCCATGGGTGTGTTCTTAAAAAATGATACAGTGTGGGAATGGGAGGGAAGACTCTACAGGAGCTAAGCAAAGTTACCAGAATTCCTTGAGCCAATGAAAATGTGAACTGAAATTCTATCACATTCCGTGGCTTGATATATATACTACACTGTTTTTACTTTTCTTCTGAACATGGATTTAGAACTTGAAAGTTTGCTGCCTTTTAGGCAACTAGTTGGTCCAGTGACGAGATGGACTCATCTCTTTTGTTGCCCCTCTGAACTAGAACTACGTAGAGAAGGACGTCCTTCAAAGAAGGTTAGGAAATGAGGGGAGAAAATCCAAAAAGGTGGCAGGAGAGAAGGAATCCACCCCCATCTGCCCCAAACGGTGGTCAGGTATGATTAGACATCTTCAGAATCACCCTGGAAAATTGTACTTTGCTTGCTTTGAAATTGTCAGGTGGCATTGTCTCAACAGGAAATTCCAAACTTGTTTTGAGTTTGGCATTAGGCAAAAACTGAGTGGTGGCGCTAAGGCATTAGGCTCAGATTACAGCGAGAAAAAGGAGGATCCTGTATCATACCACACCTCTCAATGATGTTTGAAGGCTTCCTCCAGCCAACGGCGCCTTCCTCCAACTTCAGCAGCTTTTCCACTGGAGGAAGAGCCACTTTCTTTGAAAGAAGGATCCTTAGGCTGCATGAAGACTACAACCAGAGTGGGAGGACACAGGCCAGAAATATTCAATATACAGCACCCCAAGGAATGACATAATGGGAGACCTCAGCAGGACAGGGTGGAAATTTCCTTGAAAGAGAGGAAGGCTCCGCCATTAGTGGAACAAAACCTTTGGATCTGACCCAGCCACAGCCCTAGCTGAATCGATATTGTTGTGGGGGTGGATATGGATGAACCTGATCATGCTTGACCAGTAAGGACAATGGAGTCAGTGTACCAAAGGAGTACTTACTGTGTATTTGGGGACATAGGAGTCCAGAACCAAATGCTCTTTCCACCCAGGAAGTCAAGAATGGCAAATCTTTAGGCTAACAGTTATGTGTGATGGGGGAGGGACAAAGGGAGGGGGGAAATGGGGCATCAAGAATCAAAACATGGTGGGTTGCATTGACTAAGTCATATGAACGAGAATGGGCTCTGCTGTCCGAACCGTGTTAGTTTTAAAAGAAATTTGCATGGAAAAAGAACCTCGGGTGGTATCCCGCCTTAGGCTGGAGGAAGTCCCTCCAGCACCAAGTAGCTCTTCCATTGGAGGGGCAGCCCCTTAAGCTGGAGGAAGCCTTTTAGGCTGGAAGGAGGCTGCAAAGTTTGCTCGGTGGAGTGGTCAGACAAAGGCCAGTGTTTGGAAAGCTACATTTCCCCATGAAATTTTGTCGACATGTTTTTAAACTGTATTCAGAATATAAGAAAGAAGGAAAGAAAGAATTACGGCTCTTGAAAGAGACCTAAAACAGCCAAAGTTAATGACCTTTTTGCCTTTTATATTTTTTATTTTTTTTTACAAAGCGTGTGGGAGGTTTGTTCTGTGGATACTGTCCCATGGTTTGCCTGTAATACAAATGTCAGTTTATTAGAAAATTCTTACCGTGAATAAATATTTCTGTAACCGAAGCTCTGGATTGGTCTGTAGGCTTCACTGGGGTCATCCAAAGACCCATTCCCCTCATGTTTCAGTTTGCATGGATGAATGACACATTGGGGGGGTTTCCAGATGTGGGGGTGGGGGTGGATGCACCTGTGTGATCTTAGATGATTTTGTAGCGGCTGCGTGGACAACTGTAACTGTGTACTGTTCAGATGTGAATAAATATGCATACCTGTGCCCCTTGCATTTTGTATGTATTCCAGCAACAGTTCGACTTCTCTCCAGATGACCAGTGCATCTCTCATCCCTCAATTTTGTCTCCTACCCTGGAACATGCCAAAACAAAAAAACCCCACTGCCCTCCAAGTTTACTTTGCAATCAAAACGGCTGGTTTAGGTAAACATCTGCATACATTTATTCCAGACATTCCAGTTCAACCACAGATGTTTTCTTTTAGGAATAAATGTTCTGGACCACCTTTGTTTGCATTTCCTAATATGCCAGTTCAAGTACACTAGCGCTAATTGATGAGCAAGCATGTGCGCATACAGCAGGTCATGCTGCCCCTTTGTAGTTTCACCTATGAGCTTATTTCTTTTGCATCTGTCTCCTGCTCTTCCCTGAAGGTCCTTGGCATAATGCGCATGGAGTTCTCGGCACCTGGGTGGTCTCCCACCCAGCGGCTGGTCAGGTCCAAGCCAGCTCTGCTTCAGCAGGTGCCTTCCAACCATGGTCTGGAAGCCATTCCCAAAGCTAGAAAGTGCGATTTCACATGCTACACCATTCCCTTTCTGAATGCAGAAAAGAGCAAGAGTCCAGTAGCACCTTAAAGACTAACAAAATATATGGCAGGGAATCTGAAGAAGCGAGCAGTGACTCACGGAAGCTCCTCCCCGCCACAGATTTTGTTAGTCTTTAAGGTGCTCCTGGACTCTTGCTCTTTTCTGCTGCTACAGATAGACGAACATGGCTACCCATCTTGATCTTTCTGAATGGTGTCCCAAAGGTTAAGCACTAGCATATTCCTTCCTTGGACTGCCGTAGTTTTTTTGGGGGGGACCAGCGCCGCAGGTGTTTGAGCACATTCAGCAGCACAAGTGCTCCCCCCGTGAGCCCCCTGGCTTGGGCTGGCCTTGGAAGCCAACCAGAATGTGTGGTCTCCAAACAAAGCTGGCTCCCAGCACAAAAGGCTGTCTTGCCTCCAAAACCTTGTTGATGCACATAAAAACAGGACATAAAACCAGACAGAAGATTCGTAGCTTCTTGACATCAGGCAGAGTTGCCCTTTTTCTGAGGCTAGATAGGCATGATGCCACCCTCTACCAAGTCAGGTCATTGGTCTATCAAGCTCAGTATTACCTACTCTGACTGGTAGCATCTCTCCAGGATTTCAGGCAGAGAGGTCTTTCTCATCATCTGTTACTCGATCCTTTTAGCTGGAGATGCTGGGGGTTGAAACTGGGACCTTCTGCATGCCAAGCGGATGCTCAGCCGATGGGCTATAGACTCCACTCTACTGAGTCAGACGCTTGGTCTATTAGAGTCAGCATTGTCTACTTGGATAAGAAGCAGCTCTTGGTGGTCTCCGGTCAAGGTCCTTCACGTCACCTGATCCTTTTAACTGGAGAGGCCAGGGACTGAACCCAGGAACTTCTGCATGCCAACCAGATGTTCTACCACTGAGCCATAGCCCCTCCTGTGGGGATGGTCCTTGACTTGAGCTGACAGATTAGCACTCAGAGACACTCAGGAAACAGCAAAAGCCAAGGGAGCCTCTCCCTGTATCTCGTGGACCCGAGGCCACCACAGAGAAATCTATGTGGCCCAAGATTGCACAATGTGCAGCTGATGCCCGCTTTCTCCCAATTTAGTCAGAATGAGATGCCGATTCGCTGAGGTGATGAGTTGATCTGAATGATTCCAGATCGGAATGGTTTGCTTGTTTCAGTGTAACGGTTATTTATATTGTAAGGCAGCATTGCTATATACAATGACCTGTAATGGAACAGACCCCCACCCCCCGAGCCCTCTTGGCTGATGCTGGAGAATGAGAGGTGCCAGAATACAAGACTGCCTGGAAGCGATCTGCCTGGTGTAACTGGCCTCCTTCGAACCTTTAACGGGTGGCGGCTGGCAATGATTACCGGTTGCAACAAGGGAAAGCCCTTTGTGCTGCGCATGCTCAGAACGGCCATTGGCATTACAACTTCACACACATCATCAGCACTGAGCCCCAGCCCTGAAAATGGTTCTGAGACTGAGTGCGCCATGTGCCTGTATGTGCCAGCCTGATTTGTAGGTGATGGCAAATAGATGCACATAATTTGCGCATGGATGTGCATACATAATTTCTATGCTTATATGCATGGATGAGGATAATCTGTATGTGCATGTGCATAGATGAGCATAATTTGTATGTGCGTGGATAAACATAATTTGTACATGTGTCTTCATGGCTGAGCATTATTTGCATATGTGGGCACAAAAGCATAATTTGTACATGTCTGTGCGTGCATGAATATTGTGTGCATGCATATGCATTAACACAATCTGCATACGTGACCAAATGCCAAGTCCATTTGTGGGTGTATGCATTTATGTGTGAGCATAATTGGGAGTGTGCTCTCTCCCGTTCTGCATACTAACAGCTGTAAGCTCAGCTCTAGCTACACACTACCACCCAGCACCCCATAGAAAATCACACATGTACAAAGCTGGGGTGGGGAGACGCTCCAACACCATCCTGAATTGAGAGTGATGTTGAGCAACTACTTATTTTAACCCATTTCCTCTTAAACCCCAAACCTCCCACAGGAAGGGAATAAACAGCAAGCATTGGCAGCCAGAGCAGTTGAGGGATCTCTCCAGATGTTCCTTATTTTAAAAGAGAGTTTTGTTTATGCGCTGCAGGACAGCCACAGTGGTTTAATTCAATGTTGCTATCTTGACTCAACAGTTTAGAAGCAGATCTAAAACTGGAAGTCTTTCATAATTTCAGATGCGAGAAAGAGGCTTGCTATGGTTTAATTCCAAGAGCAGGGAAAGGGACTCTGCAGTGCCTCGGAAACACATTCCCCTTATTATTTCACAAATAATGTGAAATAATCTTAGACTCAGTCCTGACACTGAAAACATGCTCATGTTCACCTTTGACCCATGCGACATCAGAGTGCTGTGCATTTGAGGGCACATTATCAATCCATCTTCACATCCTCACAAATTCCCACTGAGCTTATGGGCATGGATGCTCTCGTGTTGTTCCCAAGTAAAGTTTAAAAGCATTTTGCACACTCACACACACCTCCTGCAAGGGCCACAAGTTGGTTGGAGAGGTGAATGGGCAAGGAGCTAAACTCCCAGGACAGTTTTCCAGGCAGGGCAATTTGCATGGGGGAAAGAACTAAGCATCTCTCCAAACCACTGTGGTCCTGATCTAGTGTGGTGTAACAGTTACAGTCTTTGTGGTGGCCCAGGGAGACCCAGGTTCAAATCCCTACTCTGCCATGAAGGTCGCTGGGTGACCTTGGACCAGCCACCATCTTCCAGGCTCACCTTCCGTGCAGGGTCATTGGGTAGGGTTACCAGATGTCCTCTTTTTAGAGGACATGACCAGTGTTCCCTCTAAGCTGAGTTAGTGTGAGCTAGCTCACAGTTTTTTAGCCTCCGGCTCACACATTTTTGTCTCAGCTCAGGAAGGGTGGCTCCAGAGGAAACTAATTTTGCAGCAGCCAAATTGCTCGCTCACAACTTTAATGCCAGTAGCTCACAAAGTAGAATTTTTGCTCACAAGGCTCTACAGCTTAGAGGGAGCATTGGACATGACCTCTTTTTCTGGTGTCTGTCTTCTCTTTGGGCTCTTTTTAAAGAACTGATGAAAATGTCCTCGTTTGAGGTTGGAAGGTTGGGGATATTCCTTAGTAGCAACCATCACAGCTTAAATAGGAGGGGTATTGATCATGAGAGTAGTCACATTGATCACTTGTTTGAAGTAGTCAGTCCTCTTTTTTTGGTTTTCAGAATATGGTAACCCTATCGCTGGGAGGATAAAATGGAGGGAGCATCACGTATAATGCTCCCTCTAAGCTGTGGAGTCTTATGAGCAAAACTTCTACTTTGTGAGCTGCTGGCACTAAAGTTGTGAGCGAGCGATTTGTCTGCTGCATAAATTAGTTTGCTTTGGAGCCCTCCTTCTTGAGCCAAGACAAAAAAGGGTGAGCTGGAGGCTAAAAAAATGTGAGCTAGATCACATTAACTCAGCTTAGAGGGAACACTGATCCACGTATGCCATCCTGAATTCCTTGAATGAAGTGTGGAATAGAAATAATAATAAGAAAACCCAGATTAGACCCACCCCTGCTGCATTTAGACTTTCACAAACTGCAGGAGACACAACCCTCGGATCTCTCGGGCAACATCCCAGTGGCTGGTTTTAAGTAAAATTAGATGCCCTGACTTGGATAGCCCAGGCTAGCCCGATCTTGGAAGCTAAATGGGGTTGGCCCTGGCGAGTATTTGAATGGGAGCCCTCCAAGGAATACCAGAGGTGTGACATGGAGGCAGCCATGGGCAAACCACCTCTGAATGCCTCTTGCCTTGAAAACCCCACAGGGTTGCCATAAGTCGGCCGTGACTTTACTGTACTTTCCACCACCAAATGCATTGAGAGATGTCAAATCTTCATTGTCAATCTCTTGCATCTCGTCCGGTTTGATGCTAAGTCTCCATGTGTCACTGGTTACAATGCATGAGAATTTTGGACATAAGACAGAAGATCCTGTCTGGTGTTTGGTTGCAGAGGAAGCTTAGCATTCGTGTCCCTCTCCCTCCATTGACAGAACAGCCTCCTCATATGCCAGTGTGTGTGAGTAAAACGTTTGTCTTTATCCATCCTGGTGGCAGCACGACCTATTGCTGGGAGGCAAATGTTGCATCAGTCATATAGAGGGTTTTGGAGGGGGGGTGGAAGAGGTGCAGGAACTCTCAAAAGGGATATGAAGTTTTCAATCTGTATACTGAAAACTCATGAACATTTAAACATTTTCAAAAGAATTTTGTTGTCGAATTTTGTTTTGTTTGTTCCGGTGTGTTCCCCAGAAACAAAAGCCCTTCGTATCTCCCTTCCCCATCAGCAACATGGCCTGTTTGTATTTCAACAAGTGTACACAAAACCTTTGCCCCTGTGCCTAACTGGCCCACCAGCATTAGGGAGAGAAGATCAGCAT